CAAAACCCCAAAACCCCAAAACCCCAAAACCCCATTTAAGTGAGTAAGTATTGAATCTTTATAATCAAATATTCTTATGAGAAGAACAAACCTAGTTGTACTTGTAGCCATAATGGTGGTTGCTGTGGCGTGTTACCCAACTGTGACAACTACTAATGATGAGCACCAGAGCTTGGAGTTTGCATTTATGCCTCCTCAGGGTGAAAATTTCCCTCACGGAACTATCAGCTATCAGATGAGAGGACCTCACTTTTACCCCAACTATGATCTCGGATTTGGTGGAGTTTGTGCTTTGATGGATGATCTTTCTGATTTCAAGAATGGAACTAGTTACCCGGCTTTCTCTATGGAGACTTACTGCGATAATGAACCTACTTGTTCCCACAATGATACCACAGGGCTCTCAATCCTGGTAACTTTAGGTGAGATGAATACAACAGATGATAGAATCGATTACTTCGCTTACAATGTGACTGAGTACACCAACTTCACTTACTCAATGACTGGTACTGGGGCAGAGAGAGATCCTTTGGTTATGACTATTAGTCTTACCTTAAATACTACCTCTTACGATGGCCACAACATGCCTTATGATCATCAGTACTTGAGCTGCTTCTCTCAACCAGATCCAAGAACTTATATATCCTTCCAATGGGGACTTGAAGACTTAGGTAAATCTCAACTTTAGAATTGAAGTAATAGTTTCTATAGCTCACAAGAATCTAATCCCAGCGAATACAAGGTATCTTAATTCTGAATTACTAAATTATATTTTTCAATCGTATTAATTTCTGAAAAACTTGTTTTTATAGAGCTTAAAAACTTTGGATAGTTTTGTAGCACTCACAGACACTTCTCCAGAAAGTATCACAGTCTCAAATATGAACTCCAAAGTTCATAAGCCCAGAGGAATCAGAGGCCTTTGCTGTCCTTTCCCAAGTGCAGTGACACAGGCTTTAATAATTCTTCATAAAAGCTCCCAAAATCTATTGTATATTACCTCTTTGTATGACTTTTCCTTGCTAAAAGCTATAGCTAGTCTGCCTTCTTAACTCAATTTCCTTCTTTAATTTTAACAGAATCTCTAAATATTCTTGAGGATGGATATTAGTATTAAAGGAATGAATATTTGGAGATTTAAGTGCAGGCTAACTTATCTCCAGCCTATTTTAGGCATAAACTCCAAGCAGATTTCTTGATTTATAAGGCAAGATCCTTATCTCTTGGCCCACTACTCAAACGAGTTATAACTCTTCGAGGTTTTAAATCCAATTCTATTCTGAACTATATGCTTGGAAATTGTCAGAACAGGATATAGTTTATTCTTGAATGATTTTATAAAATTTTGTTGTTTATTAATTTCGAGAAATCCTCTTTTTAAAAATACAGGTTTGTTCTTAAGCTATATTATATCTTTGAACATTCTGGAGGTGCATCAGAGCTGATCAGTATTTAAAAAAATAAAAAAGATTTATTATCTCCAACCATGTTTTCAGGAATGAATGTAGTTTTTGAAAAGGATAGCGACATCCTTCTTTTCCAGAAGATCCATATCTTTGCTTTATTATGACTCATCTGCTAGGAAACACATCACAGCTGGAGGAAATGTATAGGATAGGCTCAATCCCTCAAAACACTCAATATAGCTATGCTCATAATCTAGCTGATTTGGTTAGCCCAAAATTATGATTTATCAACTTTATTGACCAAATTTATAACTCCAGGAATTATGACTCAACTTTGAAATAACTTAGATGATGTTTTAGAGGAAATAGCTATAAGAGAAAATTACAAGACTCAAAATTGGTATAAAAAAGAATATGGGAGCACTCTGAAAATGATTAAAGCATTAGTCTTTACAAATCTCTCGTTTTATCAATTTGGTTGGAGTCATTTTTGAGGTGAAAAATATTAAATCTGAATTTCTAAGAACTTTAAATAATTGTAGAGGCAGGCTAGACTTTAGATACTGAGTTTCATGTTAGGAGCAGATTGAATTTTAGAGGAAATTCTGTGTAGAGTTGAACCCATCTCACTTAGATATTATAGCCAAGGAAGCTCCTTCAATAGAAAAGGCTAGTCAAGATTTTGTTAATAACTTTTCATAAATCTTGTTATACATTTATCCTTCCAAACTAGCCCTATGTTTAGCTTAGCAATATTTAGAGGTTGGCAAAGCTTTATGAAGTATTTTTAGCTAGCTTTATAGTTGACTCTCAAGCTAGAGCAAGAGTCAAAGAAATTAGATTTTTTTATACTAGAGTTGCCTCTGTAACATGAAGAGGAATTAAGAACGTCTTAAAATATTTATAAGGCTAGCACAAATTATTCATGAAATTTTTTGATATAAAAGAATTGCCAAAAAGACTCAATTTAAAAATATTAATAAAGAGACCTCTTACATGAGTTTTTCTGATATAGGCAAGAAAGGATATCTTTTCAGGATACCTTCATGTACCAGAGACCGGCTACTCTAACAAGATTATGTGATGGAGTCATGTTTTAATATCTTCTCCATCTTTAATTTAAAACATGCCCTGTAAATAGTGAATCTGACAAAGAAATGTAGAAATGCTTGTAAATCGGCTTATTCTTTTTCAATTATTTAAGTACAATAAGGGGTTTTGGGGTTTTGGGGTTTTGGGG